ATATATTTATCTACAGTGAAAGCTATAGAAAAATCAAGTAGTACTTCTGTACTGTTAATGTGCAGACTCAGAGAACCTCACAAAGGGTATAAAAAGAACATTTCACAAATTGTCAAGAATTGTCAAGAAAAGCAAAAGCTTGAAAAGATGTCAAAAATATGAAAAATTATGCAACATTTTAAAGGTCAGGGTAAAAAGATCACAGAGATCTTTGGTTAGGAGTGCAAAAAAAACCCCTATAAAATCATGTGAAAAAGTACACCCGCTGAAATTTTTGTCTTTTTCACTATATTTCAGCATACAGGAGAGACATTTGATCTTCATTTCAACGGCACTAACATATAATAAATATCACGTCCCTTTACTTTTTGTACTCCATTGCATGATTTAAAGAAATACCAATTTTGCATGTAGAAAAACTAAGTTCGTCCCTACATTTATCACTTCCACAGATACCTAAAATTTGAATTAGGTGCATTGCACCAGATCAGGTGCAAACGATTAGAACATCATTACAGATGATCTTGGAGAAACCTGTCTTACTGAAACCTTGAACATTTCGTTTGATTTGCTTTTTCTTGTTGAAGTGCGTGATATCACTATGCCTAGCTGAAAAGAGCTCTCTGAGATCTTCAGAAAGAACATTATAGATGTCTGTGAATCTAGAACGGGCTAGGGATTTCAAAAGATTGCCAAATCATTGGTCTTCAGTTATTCCACTGTTCTGAAGATCTACAAGTGAAGAAGATTTCAAACAATTGCCAACGTGCCCAGCCAGGCCATCTGAGTAAGTTCACCCTGAGAGCAGAATGCAAGATGCCGAAAGAATTCTCCAAGAATCCCAGAATTTCATCCCATAACTCTCACCACCATTAATGTCAGAGTCCATCAGATTACCATTTGAAAGAAGCTGGAGGTGTGCCAGGAGGAAACCTTTGCTTTCCAGAAAGAACACGAGACCAAGAGTAAAGTTTGCTGATAAACACCTACACGAGGATCAGGATGTTTGGAACAATCTGCTCTGGACAGATGAGGTAAAGGTAGTTATTTTGCCACAGTACCAGGAGGGCTGCTAGGCAAAAGCCAAAGGCGGCAGCAGTTCACAGCAGAAGAACCTCACACCAGCTGCAAAGTACGTTACGTAGAAGAACGTAGAACGTTGCGGTGTGGGACTGCTTTGCTACATCTGGGTCTGCACAGCTCATCTTCAGAAATCCACTATAAATTCTCCATCCATTTTTTTTAGTACCCAACAACTGTGGACAGTCGGGAACTGGCTAGAAAACGCTAAACACATCCTTTGGGCTTGCGTATATTTGGATACCAAGACGATGCTATTCATGAGCTCCGTTGCCTGTGGCCCTGATTCTCAGCCTGTGGTCTGTGGGCCCCTGGGGGGAAGCACAGTGTTGTCACGGGGGGGGGGGGGGGTGTCTGTGAAGGCTTGAAGAAATGTTATGATTTAAATCTTGAGTTAAGTCTTGGGGGTCTGTGACCATGGTCCGGACTACAAAAATATTTAAAGGGGGTCCATGATGAAGAAAAGGTTGAGAAACACCGACCTATGGTAATTATTAAGGGCTGGAGCAGCGGTGCTGAAACCACAGTTTCCAGAGTCCGTTGAAATTGGGTGTCCAATATAGTTTAATGAATAAATAAATAATAAATGATTGACAGACCAATAGATGCAATGATGGCTTCCTAACTAATGGCACTATTACCTCTGTCAATGGCTGGGGAGACAGAACTTGAATATTTAAGTAACAAAAACAAAACTAAATATCCTTTCTCTTTCTTTTGGTATTTTGTCTTGATTCCTGTGCATTATTTTAATTCTCTGCAAAGGCACTCCACAGTGTATTTGTCAGGCTTGTGTCTAACACTAATGTATTTTTCTACAATTTCTCGTCCTTAAACTAGACTAACAAATAGAGTTAAACAGCTCCCATCTGCATGGCTAAATTTGATGGGGATAGTAAAGATGAAGATGCTAGCAGTGTTGACTTGATTTTTCTAGCACTAAACTGAAGACTTATATTCCACAACCTTGTTTAATATCAAAGATAACCATAAAATTCAGACAGTAAATAAAACTTCACTTGCAACTCAATACAGGCATTCATCATTACATTTCAGAGGCAGGGGGAGAGTATTCTTGACGTAGCCCCATTGAAATGAAAAGCAGTAATGCTGGAACTCAGCTATTCCCTTAATTTTAAATGAAGCTTAAAACCAACTTGAACTGTTGCAAAAAGACTGGTTTGCTCCTGAGGCAAGCAGAAAGATTTGGGAAATTCAAGTAACACCAAATATGCATAATGTAATAGCCTATTAACCCCAGCGTCCCTCAAAGGTGGCATCGGCCCGGACACTGGCACCACAGAACCTTGGCTGATATAAATGAAGGCATTGCTCTGTTTGTTTTTGATCTAATGTGAAGTGAGAATGCATTTCCTACACATTAGCCTTATGCCTACACCAAGCCCAGTCGCTTCTTCCTCGCCTTGCCATTCATTATATGAAAGGAGAGGAGGGACTATAAGCCCGGGGTACTTTTAATATACCTTTCCCCCCCCCTCTCTCTTTCCGACCCCTGAATTTTGAACTACATCATCGAGGAAAGTTGTCTTTGTTTTTCAGGTGAAAGAGAAAGAAGCTGCTAGAAGAGGTAGGATGGAACAATTTGATTTATTTTTAGCTTAGCACCCTCAACAGCTGTTTTGAAACAAACGTTTTGTAGGTATTGTAGGCTTGATTTTGATATCTGAAACCTGCCTAGGTTGCCTTATTCCAAGAAGGGGCTATGTTGTTAGGAAAGCTCAGGAAGGTTGTATTTGCTATGGAGAGTATTTGTAAATCATCGTATGTGCAGATACTAATGAGCATCTGCGAGAGACTTCAATTGTGACATCCGGGGAGTTGCATAACAACTTTCTAATTGTGCCAGTGGTGGCTTTTTTTCTTTACCACTCGTATTCTGCAGAAAAGTTGAAGTCAGAAGTGATTTCACTTAGTGATAAAGCTGAAAATCAGAAAAGTTAGAATCTTTCATAACATGCTAACTGTAATTGGAGGAAGGAAATCTAGAGTTATGCCTTCCCAGAGCAAATTTCTTAATATTTTACTAATCTGCCTAAAATAATTTTAAAAGTTATTAAAGTAATGACACTTTGAAGTAAATCAAGGTATCATTATCTCAATAGCTGTTAAACCATGAAATAAGGTTCATTTTTACAGCATTTATATTTCAATAACCCAACAGATTTTTAACCATTTAAAAGAGAATAGGCTCGGGCACAGATTAGTTTTTCTGTAGTTCTAGAAAAAAATAGGCTGGCTGTTATAATTTTCTTAAAAAAAAACTTAAAAACATGAAGAAAAAAGTAAAAAGAAACTTTTGTAAATTAGCCCTATGAAAAATGGCTTCAGATGTTCAGATTCCTCTGCATGGTAAGACAGGACCTGTAAGAAAGGTCACGCGGAGGAAATCCTCCTGGCTCTCTAGGGAAGGGCGCCCCGGCCTCTGCTGCAGCCGACTCTGCTTCCCACGGGACGCACAGGTAGCATGCAGCTACCGGCCATCTTAAGAGAAAATAAAGCGACATTGTAAATTATTTAATGACATATGATATGGTAAACAATAAAATTGCAGTAGATAATTTCCTTTCCTGGTTTTCCCCTTTTTGTGTCTGTGACTTTCAAGTGAATTGGCCCCCTGCACTAGTCCCTGTAGTTTTCCTGGCAAAGTTTTTCAGAAGTGGCTTGCCATTGCATGCTTCCTAGGGCTGAGATAGAGGGACCGGCCCAAGGCCACTCAGCTGGCTTCCTGCCTAAGGCAGGATTAGAAGTCACAGTTTCTCAGTTTCAAGCCTGATGCCTTAAATGTTATACCAATCACTTTCACATTTCCATCCTACTGCTAAGACTATCTTTTTGTCTTCTAGTATCATTTAACAACAGGTAATCCTCAATTTATGACTGTAATTGAGCCCAGAATTTGGTCTTAAGTTGTGACAGGGTTACCATATGACTGCACCCAATTTTACAACTTTTTTTGTGGCAGTTGTAAAGCAAACACCATGGGGGCTAAGCGAACTCATTTTCACTTTGGGGAGATTTTTGCTGGAAGCCAGAAGTAAACACCAGTTTCCAGCAGAAACATCATAAATTGTGATTACATGACTAGGAGGGCTCTGCAAACAGCCATACATTCAGCATAGTTGCTGAGGACCCAGAATGTGGTCATGTGACTAAAGGGTGGCAGGGTGTAGACATCAGAACTTCAAATTCAGCTCGTAAGTCCCATTTTCAGGTTTGTTGTAATTTCAGGCACTTCCTAAGCTGCAAGTTATAAGACCTGCTGGAAAAGACAAGAAAGCAATTAAGACAATCAGATACAGGTAATCTGATTGTCTTAATTGCTTTCTTGTCTTTTCCAGTAGGTCTTTTGTTGACTTTCAGAGAGGATATCCTAAGAGGATATTAAATGTTTTCTTATTCTGCCATATGTACTCTGGAAATGATGTGATTTAGGATGTATTGCCAGATTGTTAGACTCTTACTTCATATATTTTTGTTCCAGACTGAATAACATACTGCTTGTTTGTATAAGAGAAGTGTCAGGGTTTTGCTTAATTTTATTCTATATTTTTTCCCTCACATACGGTATAGTCAGTGGTTGACAGATTTTGGCAGTTACAGCCATGTTGAAAGGATCCTCCTCTGTCAAATGCTGCCCATAATAACATGTACTATTTTCGAAACGTGAAATCAAGAGAAAACATGCTCCTTAATCAAGTTATGAACTCACAATTGGGAAGGATTTTTTCCCCAATGCAGTATAATAAGAGGAGGAGGAGGAGGAGGAGGAGGAGGAGGAATGTATGTTCCGTGAAGCAAAGTTATGCTTTGCTTGAGTCTCTCTCTATGGTTAACTCTCTCATGTTCACGGACAGCTCCGATTGAATAACTGTTGTCTTGCCTTTTTGTTTGTCTTCAAGCAAATGGTGATGAGCCTCCGAGTCTCTGAGCTGCAGGTGCTTTTGGGTTACGCAGGAAGAAACAAGCACGGCCGCAAACACGAACTCCTTACTAAAGCGCTTCATCTGCTCAAGGCTGGCTGTAGTCCCGCTGTCCAAATGAAAATCAAAGAACTTTACAGGAGGCGGTTCCCGCAAAAAATAATATCTTCTGCAGACTTGTCCATCCCAAGCGTCCACTCAACGTCCATGTCATCCCCTTTGTCATCCTCTACCATTCCACAACTTGCTTTTGATGGCCACCCGGCAACCTCACCATTACTTCCTGTTTCTCTTCTGGGACCTAAACATGAACTGGACCTGCCCCATCTGACCTCAGCACTCCACCCAGTCCATCCGGACATAAAGCTTCAGAAGTTGCCATTTTATGACTTGTTGGATGAACTGATAAAACCAACGAGTCTAGGTAAGGGAATAATATTGTCACTTTTATAAATGCAATCATTATATGCATGAGGATGTAAGTCATACATTTAAGGATCTCATACTTTTCTTCCTTGACAACTCCCAACTTACAGGTTGAAAGCCTGTTGCCTCCAGTTTGGATGGAACGATTTCTTGACTTTTAAAGATGGACTGGGGTGTGGGTGTGACATTTCACAGTTGTTCAAAGAAATTTAGGTAGAGCGAACATGGTATGAATACAAACAAATATTGCCAGAATATGTAATTGTAAGCTTCAAATTATTCTTCAGTAGAAAACAATTTGACTAGAGATTATTTTATTAAATAAGTTACTGGACCATCATTGTAGAATGCTTCTTAGTAATGTTCTTACTAATGAAAAAAAAGGTCTAACAGTCAACCTACAAATTTTAAAAATGTAGTTTGGTATTCCAGACATTTTTAGTCATATGTTAATGTGGCACTTTTGCTTTGCTAACTCAAGCAATCGAAATGACAAAATTTTGAAAGACTTTGAATGCTTGAAGTCTAATTTATTTTGCACTTGGTGTAGACTGTGGGAATTACCAGTTCATCAGAATGCTTTATTAACCATTTTGTTACACACACAAAATTTGGGCTAACTTAAGTTTCCAAAAATCTTTTGAGCTCAAAAAGGGAGGAATGCCTGCTTATAGACTTCTATTTTTTAAGACCATTTTCCTTAATGTGTTTTCTCTTAATTTTGAATACGTAAAGATGCTGAAATAAGAGATACATTTCTGTTACTTTTCCCTAAACGCATTAGATTAAAATTTGCTTGGAAACTATAGGAATTGTAATCCAGTGTGTCCAGGACCACAAAACTGAGAAAGGCTGATGAATACTTTATTTGTTGATTATGGTAGTCAGTGAGTAGGTATATGACATACATCACAAAAACACTAGGTAGACAATGCAAGAAATAAAATAGACCACAAATAATCAAACTAGAGAGTGTGAGGAATGCAGAAGCTGACTAAAATATATTACTGGCCAGAGCCTAAAATCAAATAAAATTATTGATAGTATAGCCATAAAATAAAACGAAATGTCACTTACAGTTGAGAGCACTTTTAAGCATATGTATTTAGCTAGAAACATAAAAAAGAGATGTTTGATCATTAAAAAGGTTGCAAAATGAGACAATTGGCAATCTAGAAGATGCTAAATGTTTTATAGATGATCCAGTGTGCCAAATGTGAGCCATGGGCAGAATCTCTTAGCTGCAGAACCAAATGCAGCTATCGAGTAACATTTCAGGAGTCTAACAGAAGAAATAAGGTATATAGTATAAACTTTGGGAGAGGTGAGATTAGGGTGGGACATTTTTACTATTATTATTATTGTTGTTGTTGTTATTGTTGTTCCATGTTTTTAAATGTCTGAGAGTACCTGCCCTATAGGAAGGAGTCCTGTGACTTTCTGGGTATCTCAGGAGGATGATATTGATGTGGAGCTTTTCAAATCCTGAAAGAATCTGTCCTTCCTTTCAATCCATTATCTAGCTACACAAACTCCAAACAATGTCTCAAATCATTAGCTGATTTCATTTATATGTCTGTAATATTTGGCTCTCTGACTATTTCCTTTTCAATTAGGAAGAGGAGATAAATTGAGTTTTTCAATCCCTAATGAATTCTGGTCAGAAGCACAGAGTAAGGTAATAATATAATATTGTGAACTCCAAATAATTCCTGCCCAAGAGAACTTTCCAAAGTCCTAACACAGCCTTTAATGACTTTCTTGAACGAGATTATTTACCAGCACTACTTCAGACAAACAGCACAAATTCACACTTGAAATGATGTTTCTTAAAAAACAGTAGTACAGATAAATGTTTTTCAAAATTAACATTCCTTGGGGTATGTTAAAGTGCAGTGGTGCCATAGATAATTGTTCAAGGTAATTGTTAAATCTTGTTAATGTACTAGGTTGACTCAGAGGCATCTGTTGAAGTCTCTTTTGTTTTTGGAGCATGCTGAAGTTTTTTTTTAAATGTTTGTTCAGACTCTAAAGGGCTGAGGCAGGCTCCTCTTACTCGTGACTCCTCCTGTTTGGATTACGGCCAGCCCTGCTGAGTCTCTGGCTTTTTTCTTTTCTCTCCCAGGGCCTTAATAGACATTTGGGTTTTCACCCTTACATATTGCTCTCGTTTTGAGGACTTGTTGAAGAGAACCAGAAGTGGCTTTCTGCCCATTGAGAAATAGATGTCCTCTTGCTGTTACTCTTAAGATACAGATGTTTTTTTGTCTATGGAAATAAATTCATGGGCAAGAATTTTTCTCTGAAACTATACAGTAGCATTTGTTAATGATTTGAGGATTTTATTTTAAATGTGTTCTTAAGATCAGCAAAAGAATTTTGTCAGTGTCTTTTAAGATCACAAGGAAAACATTTATTTTAAGTTTCTGGCTATAATTTCAAATAAATTGTTAGCTTTAGAAATGAAACGTTCAGTGGGAATACACTTTTTTTTTATTTTAAACATCGAGCTGATTCTCCTGCAGTTTTTGATGCCTTTCAATATTGAAACAAGAGAATGCCTTATGAATTTTTAAAAAATGGACCATTTCATCCTTTAGTATTGTAAAATGACATGGGATTAATTCCCTGGTAATCCTGGATTCGGATTTTATCTATAATAATTTCTAGCATCAAACTGTTCTCTGCCTCTCCCCCCCCCCTTGAGCCAGCCTGTATGAGTGCTAATAAAAGGCTGTACATCTGTTGACATAATGGAAGGCTTTGTATTTTGTCCAGGGAGCAACGAAGAGATTTGGGCCTCCTGATTTGGCGTCCTGAGATATAAGGGCTGGGTGAGTTTCTTTCACTGTAGCGGACGTATAACTGATTGAAACTTCCAGCACTTCTTCTACTCCTAGAATTCAAGTGGAGGTTGTCCGACTTAAATCATAGAGCAAAAAATACTATTTATTATATTTTGCAGCAATCCTTTTATCATTCCAATAATTCCTAAGTTGACCTGTCCTATTGCTGCCTGCTTCTGTGAAATCCTATTCAGTCCCTGTATGGAAAATAATTCCTCTTTCCAGTCATAACAATCTAAAATACATTCCTCTTTTTCTAACATGTTATCAATTAAAGGAGCTATGATGACACTTGTTTAAATTGACCAAACATTAGAGTACTATCTTGGTTTAATCCTGCAAAGATCCAGAAAGTTACAGAAGCCAAGTGTTGACCTTGATGCACATTTTGCAGGCAAAATGCCCCTCCAAGTCCAAGCCCAGTTTGTTTCCTTACACGTGCTTTCGTCTGCCATAGTTTGCAGAGGCCTCCTTGGATTGTTTGTTTCCAGCAGACAAAGAGTGCAGCCCCTTTATTAGAGTTCCAGTTTCCAGGTAATCCATACTTGCCACATCTAGATGTAATATCTTTAACTACTGATAACAGTGCTACTTAAGTCATTTAGTCCTCAGAAAAAATGGGAGTGAAATCATAGAATAACAAGGTTGGAAAGGAGTGTAGTCCAATCCCCTTCTTTACAATTAAAGATCAGTTAATCTCAATTTAGACATATAGTATGAAGCAAAATATTTTAACATTGGAGGCATTAAAGTTTATTTTTGAACAATAGACCCAGACGTTAATTTTAATCTATGGTGCTTAACAGAAGTTGTGGAAGAGACTTTAGTTGACAAGATTGAGACTGATTTGAAAGTGGGTTTAAAAATGATAGGCTATAAGAATGACATGAAAAAGGTGTCACACTGGACATACAAAAGAAACCAGCTAATATCTTAACAATTAAAAAGGATATATCAATAACAAATTTGGATAACTTTCCTATATTGGATTTACCAAAGAGGCTTGTTAAAGCTCTGAAGAATTTTGTGAAAAGGAGCAAAAATATGAAAAGAAACCAAGTTCTGAGGTATTATTTGAAGGGAGTAAGGATCAAAACGAAGGAATATAAAGTTGGTTTATTTTGTGACTATGAGATGGGCAGCATAATATATAAATATTTTATCAAGGTTAAAAAAGATATGTTGTTGTCTCTGGAATCCCTTAATAGATTTTTGCTGGCATTGGGACTGAAATGAGGCCTTAAGTATTTGTTTAAAGATAAAAGTGGAAATGGGAAGAAGACATCATTTGCAGTATTTTAAGAGAAGATGTTAAGTTACTAAAATAGTTTACACTTGTAATTAGGGGAAAGTCATTTCTTTATATATTTCTTTTTCTTTACTACTGCATATCCTTTCTTTTCTATTTTTTTAATGCACCTTCTATGTGAAAGTTTATGTACCAAATGCAAATGTTTGGATTTGAGAGACCAAAGTAACTATAAAAATGTTATTCATACATGTGCGTGTACACACACACAGAGAGAGACAGACAGACAGACACACAGACATGCACACAGTCTTGAAGTCTGTGTGACACCAAAAACCAGGTCGGCTGGATTAATGAATACTCAAATAATTTTATGAAGTTCAAAAGGCTATTTCATGTTATATTAGAAAAATAAGTAGACACAAGCTCTTGAGTCAAGTTTGGTTACCCCATCTCAACTCTTGTCTCCAAAATCAAAAACACTTTGCGTCCTGTTCTTTGTAGTTGAATATGTTTTGGAATGAAAAATCTAGATTCAAATCAGAAAAAACAACATTGCACGCATTGAAGTTATAAGAAAACTTACCAGTGATGGTCTGAAATACAATTGTAGGACGGAAGTGAATTGTTGATGCTGCACTGATACAAACAACCTAGTCATGGGGGGCAGGGGGGAGCTTATCTATATTTCATTCTACAACCTCCTTCCCCCCTCCCCAGTTCTTTCTCCCCCCCCCCCCCCCGTTTTTCCTCACACAGCCAGCTGCTGGGAATGAGATATCCCCTTTCTCAGAAATCTGAATTACTGCAGGTTCTGGAGAGCTGGTGGAAATACCTTTACGAGGACCTCAGCTCTGAATGCTACTGGGGTGTGCCTTAGGGTGAATGGGAGGGAATGCTTCTGACAGGATTCAGTCCTGCTCTGAGTAAACATACTGTTTTCTCTAAGAAAGCCAATCCATGCTTCGAGACCCACTAAAATCCGTGACCTCTTCTTTGAAATGCAAGGAGTGTTTAATTTTAATAACTATAAACATTTGGCAAACATCTGCTTTAATTTAATGTATTAGCAGGCACATTGTAGCTTTCCTTAACCTATGTAGCAATTTATTAGGAACATTAAGAAATAAACATTTCCAAAGGTTCTGTGGTGGGATTTCCAGAAATGTAAAAACTTAGTTGAAAGGACTTGCTGCTTGCTTCCCTATTGGATATGGAGCTCCAGAGTAACGGTAGGTGACTTATTTGCATGAGGTCTCTTTAATGCTCAATATCTTGAATTTTAGAACTAAAATTTAAATTAGACTTAAGCTTGTAGTTTACACTCTCGCAGAGGGTTTTCACTTTCTTTTGTTCTGAGATTACTTATTTTATGGAATTACATGGATTTTTTTTTCTATCTTTCCCCCATTTTCTCTGCTACTTCTCACCTGGTTCACTCTAAGGGGAACCAGCCAGAAAGGAACGGTCATCATGGCTTTATGATAGGTACTTAAAATGGAGAGATTTACTTTGCCATACAAATTATTTTTGAAATTGTCTTTAATGCTGTGAGATTTTGCCGATAACCATGTGTTTTCCAAGTATTCCTAAATCCTGCATCCATTTTGCAGGAGCAAGTCCTCTGTCCTTGGGTGAGAAGGACATTGAGTGGCAAAAAAGCTTGTGAAACAAGTGTAGTTTGGGGAAATTAAGAAACTTCCATATGTCTGCCTTTTTCCATGACTGTGCTCAACTATTGTGGCAGGAAAACCTCATTGCAATCACAAGGGCAGACTAAAATCTAAATAGAGAATCATTGTCTTCCTAGACTAGGGGTAGGGAACCTTGGCTCTTTTATGACTTGTGGACTTCAACACCCAGAATTCCTGAACCAGCCATGCTGACTCAGGAATTCTGGAAGTTGAAGTCCACAAGAGCCAAGGTTCCCTACCCCTGTCCTAGACTATTGATGTGGGTATGAGGACAAATAGAAATTAACACATTTGATTTGTCTTTGTAGAAGTAAAAGTTAACAGAGTGCTCTCCTTGTTAGGTATTATAAATCTGATAAAACTAGCAAGGGTTATTGACTATTAGTGATCATAATTTAGCAGTGCTGGTGGTATGCCACAAACTATGTATATTTAGTTAATAGAGTGCAGCAAAGATGGAGATCAAGCAGTGAAAATTATGATAAGATATAGTAGTGCTTTCTTGGATTAATATACCTCTTACCTTAATAAATGTCCCATAATGTAACTATAAAGTAAAAATGCTTCCTCATTTTATTGTACCGTGAAATATTCCAGCAAATAGCAACTTTGCAATACAATTTATCTTGAGTTATTGCAATAAGCTCTTAATTATTTAGCAATGGCCAATTTGCAAGGAAAGATTGAAAGTGCTCTCAGTGAATAAATAGAATTGAGGACCGCTGGAATTGAGTTGGAGAGCTTGCTTGGGATAGAACATTGCATGTTCATCCAGGACTATGTGAAAACATTTCTGAATGGCTAACTGGATTTTTTTCCCAATTCAGAAAGTAATATGTTACCAGAAGAGCATTTCAGTGATATATTTAGCCTCTGGCTTGGTGGGGGGGGATGGGTCATTAAATGCTTGTTTTAACTGAAGGTAATGGAACTGTTAATATAATATCTGTAAATTACTGTAAGAGGATTCTTGGATTGTTTGCTCTCAAAGTTTATATTATATTCAGATTTCAAACATTGCTCTATGTAGTTTTAATTGCATCTCTTAATCATAAACTGCTCTAATCATAACTATATGTTTTATAAAAATATCCACAAGCCTCTCCTAAATACATGTCTAATATTTAGGGCATATATATTTGTGTTTATCGCAAGAGCCTGTTTTAAGGCCTCTAAAAGCAGAGCCCACACCAGGCGTGCTCAATCCGTGGCCCTGGAAGCTAGTAGTGCGGCCCCATAAGATCCCCCAAAATAAAGGAAGTTAATCATATACATTAACTGTATTATATGTTTTATTGCGGCCCAAGACAGTTCCTCTTCATTCAGTGTGGTCCAGGCAAGGCAAAAGGTTGGACACACCTGACCTCCACGGATCATATTGGGCCACCAACACGAGAGCAGTTAGGTTTTTCAGACTGGTTTTCAGTTATATGTATCTTACAGGATAATTATGGGCAGATATTCTTTCTCTCTATATGTTATTATATTTTACTTGTCTCCCAACAATTCAGCATGCTTACTTCCTATAAAGGTAGAAACCTCCCAAACAATCTGCAGTGTTAAAGAATATGTCCCCCCTCCCCAAAGGATTTCTCATGCATTTTTCAAAGAGGAATGGTTTTGGTACAGTGTCAGAGTCCTGACTAGCTTCAATTTTTGATCTATAATAATTTTTAGTGATACATTTGTCTTACTTTCCTTTTCCTGTTTTTGTTTTTGCTTCTTTCAAATAATGCAGCTTGTTAACCTAGCTTGGCTGAAATTCTGCTGTCTCACAAGCTGAGCGCTGGGCTTAGATGATGAGTTTTGCAAATCTTAGAAGAAACCTCTTTCTATCCACCTCCTTCATTGAAGCTAGCAGAGCAAAAGAAAGTAAATGCTGAGCTCCTCTTTATTGCATTTCAATTAAAATATCCTCTTACTAGTTGGTAGAACATAATCCCCTTTGGCTCTGCCAATTCTTCCTTGTTTTGTTCTACAAGCATTTGTTTTATGTTATGAGATGAGATAATTTGTATTTAATGACTCACACTTAATCAAATGACTTGAGACTTCAGGATGTAAATCAGATCTTTGTGAATGAGTGTCTGTACTCTTAGTCATGCAGGGAATGTATATAGCGCACTGTAATAATAAGCCACACAGGTTGAAGCTTAATGGTTAAAATATGGATTCTCCCTCACGATTACTCCAAGCTCTTTTGTCAATCAGAATATATTACTGTGTGTTCTTTATCAGACTGTCCTTTTTTTTATGGCTCAGTGTGTCAGGTTTTAGTCCAGTTATATTTTCTTTTTTAAAGTAATTTTTGAAATCAACTTCCAGTTCTTTTCCAAGGTAAGTATATATCATGTGAGAAGTATCAACCCCTAGAACAGTGTTTCCCAGTCCAATCTTAAAGCTGCCATGGTTGGAAACACTGCCCTAGAAGATAAGCCAAGGTTGGGTTGATGCTAAATGTCCTAAAACGATGGCAGAATTGTCTTTATAAAGAAAAATAACCTTTTTTCCATGTTCATTTAATCTCCTCTTGACTTCTCTTTAGCATCAGATAATAGCCAACGATTTCGGGAAACCTGTTTTGCATTTGCCCTGACTCCACAGCAAGTGCAGCAGATCAGCAGTTCCATGTAAGTGGCCCTCGCCCCCTTTCCAGTGCATTGCTTCTGATTTCCAAAATGGGATAAACCTTTTAAGAGGGGTGTTTATAATTGTGGAGCAGGACTTTTTTTTAGGTTTTAGCATTCCTAATGAGGATGAGGTGGCCTTGAGGTGTGATAGAATTGCAGTGTAAAAAGTCCTTGCTGTCTGAGTGGCATTTTTACATTTGCTTTGCCATTCCTGGTTATCCAGTAGTTCACACGTCTAGGCCACTTACGCAACAAGTGCAATCAAACCCTAATTCATCCCAAGTGTGGTCATGCTCTTCCATGTAGGCTGTTTGCAAGGCAATGTACTGTTGCCCACACACTGCTACTAACTGGGAGGCACATGAGTACCCTGAGCCACGTTCAGAGTATGTGCATTTTCATAATTTAAAATGATGCCAGAACCATATAAATGTTATTTATCAATGTATCCTGTTCAGAAAGGGGGAAGGGCTTGAAAAAGGAGGATGGAACCTGGATCTGGTAAATGTGCCTTTTGCAGTGCATTTCAACATAGTTTGGTATTAGCATAATCTGTTTCAAGCTTTACATGTTTAAATTATGTAATGCATTATTTTAACGAACTGTATTTAATCAGTGTCTAATGTCTTTGTTAGGGATATTTCTGGAACCAAATGTGATTTCACTGTGCAGGTCCAGTTAAGGTAATTGTTTTTCCTATAATCCAATTGCAATATGCTGTTTCCCTTCTCCTTCACATTCTGTGCCAAATATTGGGTCTAATATTGGCTGGGGAATTCTGGGAGTTGAAGTCCAGACATCTGGTATGTGTTATAGCTACCTTGGCAGTGTTGGTCAGTTGTCATAAATTGAGAGCTACCTGTACAGTGACTCACAGGAGATTAGATTCCACATTAAATATAGGTCTCTTAAATACTGAAAACCTTCCACACAATATTAGTTAATGACATTCATTGTATGTATACCTACACCTATGCGTATATAATCACAGGATTGTTGTTGGGGGGGAAATGGGGAGGAAAGAGTATTAGATATATTCACCACCTTTAGTTATTTTTATGGGATAAAAATAAATAAAATATAAGATAACATGTAACTGAACTTTGTCATATCCTTAGGTTTTGCTTATCTGAAACCAGTTGCCCACAAGAAGATCACTTCCCGCCAAATCTTTGTGTGAAAGTTAATGGAAAACCTTGTAGCCTTCCGGTAAGTGTCTCCCCAAATCTGACTACTGTAGTCTTCTTTTTCATAAAATAATCCCCGTGGGAGCTATGTAGATGGTTTGTGGTATAATAGACAGAGAGTCCTTGTAGTCCTGGTCTTTGCATTCAGTGGTGCATTTGTTGACATGCAGAAGTTACTTGAGTTATTCTGTCTCTTCTACTTACAGTTCTTTTGAGGCAAAGTCTCCCTAGAGTCAAGCTCAATTTCTGGTGATATTGCAAACATGACTAGTTAGCTTTTTTGTCAACAATATGGAAGTGGTTATTATTCCCTCCTTATAGGATTCTTTATTTTTACTACCCAGTGTAGCCTACTGCCCTGGGGTGACCTATTAATCTCTCATCCCATACACATTGGTCTCCTAGGAGTTGGTGCTCACCTCCTGGTGATTTTGTGGACATGTTCATTGAATCTTTTTTTGCAACTAAGTACCAATGAAACCTGATCTTGCTTAGCTTTTGAACTAGGCAAAATTGGTCAGGTCATCTGTTTCAAGCCCTCCGTGTATATTAAGGGGAATTTAAAAAAAAACTAAACAAAAACTCAAAAACTTGATTTTTCTCATATAACATATTTCATTCAATAGTGCCCGAGAATTGACTTTCCTCTTCCGTATTGTCTTGGCTTTCTTGTAGTATGAAATGAATTTCTGGTCTTTGACTAGTTGCAGTTATCTGTGAATCTCTATCCCCCTATCTCATAAAGGGAAGTTAGGGGTGTATGGATCTCATCTTAATCCCCTACCAACAAAAGGGACATAATGAACTACTTCAAATATTGATGTCAAGCAAGGTCTGCTTTCCTTAGTCATTTTCATAATGGTAACTTGAATTATGGTGTTTCAGGGCTATCTTCCTCCAACTAAAAACGGGGTTGAACCAAAGCGACCAAGCAGACCAATCAACATTACTTCACTGGTGCGACTATCCACAACAGTACCAAACACAATTGTTGTCTCTTGGACTGCAGAAATAGGAAGAGTAAGTAATGTTTTTGATACAGAGCAAAATGATTGGGAGAAGGGATTGTTACATATAGCCAGTGAATCAAAGTAACTTTGTCTGAACGTAATGATTTCAAGAAGTATTTCTGGGGCCTTTTGTAGATTGGCCATGTCTTAGTATATCTGGTCAGATTGAAAATAGCAGGACTAAGTCAACCTGCTGAAGCTTCTGGTGCAGATCTGGTCATTGTAAGAATACCTTTTTTCAGACTTTGTAGTGTAAATAGAACTGATTATGAAGGGAGGAGGTGAGGTGCTATTTACTCTGTGTAGTCGAACAGAGGCTGGACATGTCTCTGTTGGAGATGCTTAAGTCTGGATTTCAGCCCCTGGGGGCGAGTAGACGGTTCTTTCCAACCCTGTGATTCAATGACATCCGCGTTTGCGCCTCACGGCTGACCTAGCGATGTTTCTGGAATCTGTCAGATTCCTTTGTAAAGGTGAATCGGGGCAGGGCTTGGATTTCCAGACATTGGCTTTTCAACCCAAGCAAAGGGACAAGATTTCTCTGTTGTTTATCGGATTTCTGTAAAGCCACTTGAGGCAAATTGCTTCTTTAGAGTTATGCTGGCAGTATGCTATTTGATAATTTTATCTCTTGACCAAATTGGAGCATTAAAGGGATGTGTGATAGAGCTCTGTGTAAGTTAGATATTTTACAAATTGTGGCAGCTTAATAAACAATGTTCAATTTAGAAAAAGAAAAAGGGGAAGTGGAATGTATATCTGTATATATATGCATTTGTATATATGAATGTTTGTATGCAGACACAGACACCCAATATTGGTACCCCTCTACTTTGCCCCCAAAGAATCACAGGTTGCTGTGAAATAGGTTGAGCTGGAAATAATGTAATCCGTCATTCTTTATTCCATAGTTAATAGAGTTGATATTTTGCTTTTGATATATAAGTGCCTGCCAGGTAGGTCCATTGGAAGTTCAAACGGTCCATAAGTGACTAGTCATAAATCAAAAACTACCTGTATGTGGCTCTTGGAGTTCAGCCAGGATATTTTTGAAGCTTTCTTTGGGTTTTTTCTCCACTATTTAAATTATCCTTCTGTTCGGTCTGGGCCAATTTTTCTATTGTAGCCACGTGCAGGAAAGAAGGGCTACAGTCCCAGGAACCTTCATTTCCTTGATCATCTGAACAACCACAGGAACAGGAACAGGCACGGCTCTTTACCCCTCCCCGTCTTGGCTCTTTTCTTCCTCCTTGGGCCTCATTCCCTGGGCTGCCCCCAGTGATACAAAGAACCCGAATCAGCACTTTTCTCCATTTAGAGAGTCCTAGTGGTTGATGTGGGATTGAAGACTCATATACTACCAATTAAAATAATTACTCTGCTGGAATGATCACTGAAATCTAGTGATATTGTTTTAATTTCTAAGGAGTACCAGTAATTATGCTGGTTGGCGCACGGTGATCTGTTAAATGACCGCATCCTACAGCCTAACCCTCTATATTTGTTCTAGGTGCAAAGAATAAAAATAACTTTCATTATTTACCATATCTTCCAAAAGTCAGTGAGAATTTTGTTTCTAATTCCAAACTTCATGGGAATTTGGAAATAATAAAATGCATTCCTGATAGGTAGACTAAATAGTTCTTTCTCGTGTTTTCCCTGCAGTCTTACTCGATGGCTGTCTACCTTGTCAAACAGCTGTCCTCGTCTGTGTTGCTACAGAGGTTACGAATAAAAGGCATCCGGAACCCCGACCACTCCAGGGCACTAAGTACGTCTACTAGATGCAAGCTCCGGGTCTCCAGTAATTGGGAGAGAAAGACACTGCAATGACGGTCCCACTTATTCTTCTTTCATTGTTTTAAAATGTTTAAGTGTCTTAACTATAATATGTTTTTGAATTGTAAGTTGCCCAGAGTCATTGACTGAGATGGGCAGCTATAGAAATTGAATGAATGAATGAAGAATCCTTATAGTCAGCATTGGTGACCTTCCACAGCTGGAAAATGGGCCACCCCAGGTGGTGCCCCTCCCTGCTGACAGCCGGGCAGGCAGAGGTTCCATTTTCTGGGGCGGCCAGGTCTGTTTCCTCAGGTGAGCAACGACACCTTGCAAAAGAGACCTTCCTGAACTGTGGCGACTAGCTGGCCTGGCCTGCTTTTCTTTTGTCCTCAAGAGGGCTGAGTTGCACCCACTCTCGATTCGAGCAGAGGTCCCCAACCTTTTGGTCGCCAGGGACTGGTTCCGTGGAGAGAGCTTTTCCTCGGACCGGAGGGTGCGTGGTTTTGTGTGCTGCCTGCATCCCACGGATGGGGGTTTGCTTGTTTTGCGGACCGGTTGCTGGCATGCCGTGGCCCACTACTGGTCCACGGACCGGGGGTTGTGGACCCCTGCCGTGGAGGATTTTACTGTCAGTTCTTCAACTGATTCGCTCAAAACCCGTTCTGACTTTAACTCAGGAAATGCACCAACTTGCTATCCCGGCTCCATTGGGCTGTTACGCACCTTCTGATGGACGTTTCATTTTTGTTTTCTTCCTTCTTGACAGTCAAAGAGAAGCTGACAGCAGATCCTGACAGTGAAATAGCAACAACCAGTTTAAGAGTTTCTCTTCTATGCCCAGTAAGTGTGTTTCTTTTTACAATTCTTTCCTCATTGTATTAAGTGCAGGTAGTCCTCGACCTATGACCACAATTGAGCCCAAAATTTCTGTTGTTAAGTGAGACGTTTATGAAGTGAGTTTTGCCCCCTTTTACGACCTTTCTTGCCATAGTTGGTAAGTGAATCACTGCAGTTGATAAGTTAGTCACCCGGTTATTAGGTGAATCTGGCTTCCCCATGGAGTTTGCTTGTCAGAAGGTCGCACAAGGGGATCACCTGACACACACACACACACACACACACACACACACACACACCGGGACGCTGCGCCCATCAGAAATATGAACCAGTTGCCAAGCATCTGAGTTTGGATCACATGATCATGGGGATGCTTCAAAGGTGGTAACTGTGAAAAATGGTTGTAAGTCACATTTTCAATGCCATTGTAACTTTGAACAGTCACTAAATGAACTGTTATAAGCCGAGGACTCCCTGTATCTACTATACAATGTCACTTTGAATGTTAATTCACATGTCTGGCAATAATGCCCCCCTGGGAAGATGAGAGTCATTCTCTCTGGGAGAAGTTGAAGGAATTCATTCATGCCTATGTTCAGGGCAGAGTTTGCCTTCAACTCTCCTGTTCATCTGTTTGCTTTCCTAGAGGCTTTTATGTGGCCAAAAAGGACTCTTCTTTTGTTAAGCCGAATTTTCTTTGTATTTCAGACTTAATTATTCAATTCACTTTTTTTTTTCTTTTAAAAGCTTGGCAAAATGCGACTAGCAATACCTTGCAGGTCTCTGACTTGCTCACACCTTCAGTGTTTTGATGCCACCTTGTACATTCAGATGAATGAAAAGAAGCCGACTTGGGTGTGTCCTGTCTGTGACAAAAAAGCACCCTATGAACATCTAATAATTGATGGGTGAGTACCTTTCAGAAGCCGGGAATAGTTGGGAAACATCTGTTCTAGAGACCTTCTGGAAATAATCTAAGGCAGCCTTGATGATGGGTGGACTTCAGCTCCCAGAATTCCCCCACCAGTCTAGCTGGCGGGAGAATTCTGGGAGTTGAAGTCCACCCATCTTCAAGCTGCCAAGGTTGAGAAAGCAGCTTCAAGCTGCCAAGGTACTAATTTGTATTTTGATGCTGCCTTTCCATATTAGGTCTCCTGTATATTCAGGATGATTTTTAAGGAAGCTTCTATTTTATAGGTTGTTTATGGAAATCCTGAAATATTGCACAGATTGTGATGAAATTCAGTTTAAGGAAGATGGGTCATGGGCTCCTATGAGATCAAAAAAAGAGGCCCAAGAGGTGACCACATCTTTTAATGGTGTAGAAGGTGAGCTTCACAGTAACTCGTCTGCTTTTTAAAACATTTTTCCTCTTTGTTGCTTTGTGTAGTTCATGATTGTGCATTATGTGACATATGGCTTCAACTTACTGTGATTTCAACATTTGATTGTTCCTAGGCTGCTTAAGTTCTTCTATGGATCATCAGGTGTCTTCTCATCAGTCAAATAAAAACAAGAAGGTTGAAGTAATCGACTTAACCATTGACAGTTCATCAGATGAGGAGGAAGAGGAACCACCTGTCAAGAGGAGATGTCCATCACTGTCTCCTGTGTCACCCATTAACAGCAAGAGGTGAGATAGTGACCAAGGTTAGAGGGAGACAGGTAGTTCTCGGCTACCAAAAGGTACTTGTGACCCAGTTCTGAAGTTACAGCAGCCAGTTGCCCTTCCCCCACTGTCCCATAAGCACATTTTGGGTACTCAGCAACTAGCCCACCTTTACAGTCATTTGCAGTGTCCCTAGCCACAATTTACAACGTTAGTTGCCCAAACTTGGCATTTAGTTCTATTTTTCAGCAAAACCACCCCATAGCAAATAATGGGTTCACTTAGTGACCAAGAAGGACACTTTATGACCACAGCGGGTGCATGTAACTGCCACAAAAAAGTCATAAAATTGTGTCCAGTTGTTTACAACCATCAGGACTTACAACCGTAATGGGTCGATTCCATAATTATTACCTGTACTGCAATTTGTGGTTCCAGGTAGGATGTGCAGATGGAGTTCTCACTTTCATTTTGGGATCCTCATCAAATCTTGTCCACTGAAGCATGGTTTTGGGGTGACAAAATAGGGTTTCTTTCACATTCTGTGAAAATGGTCGATAAACTTAAGCTTTCATGAAAAGGTAGCGTATCTGCAGTTCCCACTGGCAGCCTTTCACTGCCCCATATTCTGAGGGAAAATGTATGACCCAGTCAGGCTTATGTCCTGTCAAGACTGTGCTGCAGAAATTACACAGGGAATTCCACTTCCCCTTTCCCATGGGGGAGAGAGAGTCCCACAGCTAGTGGCCTTTGGAGATACGGAGGGGAAGTGGATGGGTGAACCCTGTGTCGAAATGCTGATAGGTAGCAGCACAAGGCTTAATAAAAAAAGCCGTGGAAGAGAAGTAAAGAATCTCGTAGCTTGTCTAATGACAAAGGAAGCACTTGCCGTTTGGCAAGATGAAAATGCAAACATCTAGTTCTGAGCCTCAGTGGCTGTTGGTGTGGAGGGTTGTGTCTTGTAACTGACTTCCAGGTTTCCTTTTCTAGCCTTTTAAGTCTGCCCCACCAAGTCTCTCCTGTTTCAAGGACTCCCAGCCTTCCAGCTGTTGACACAAGCTACATCAACACCTCACTCCTGCAGGATTACAGGCATCCATTTCATATGACTCCCATGCCTTACGACCTCCAAGGTAGGCTGCTGACCCTGGAGACGCTGGGGATGGACGCTGGGATTTTCTGGGGAATGGCGGGATCTTACCTTTGGGCCCCTTTCTGTGGAATAAACAGTGTTGAAGCTGGACTACATCTTAGGCTGAATTCTGTCATTTCCCCCTCCCCCCAACGCATTCTGTTAGCTTGCTTTGGTGCTTAATAAAAGCCCCGGGTCTACAGTCCGAGGGATGGGGGAGGCAAGCGGGGTCCGCTGTGATCATTTTCAGATCAGTCTATTCAGAATAAGCATCTACCTGAAAGGAGAGAATGTACCTTGCAGTGACTTGGTTGGTTTTTGGAGCAGAAACAACCAAGACCCCCTTGGAGACAAACACACATATTGAACTGGGCTTTTTGTCATATGCACAGAGGAGAGTTGTGAGAAAAGAGAAATATTTTATTTATTACTGCAATTTATGTGCTACTGGATGGGTGGTCCAAATATTTGGGGTCACATTGTGTGCAAGGAGAGGGTACCCTGATCAGCCCTTCTCGTCCAAATCATCCAAAACTGCCCCATCCAAGGTAGGCCACAGCTGACACATAAGATATCACTGAGCAAAGGGCCTGAAAGAAGTGAACTGTGACCGTTTTTCACCCTTACGACCGTTGCAGCATCCCCACAGTCACATGATCAAAATCTGGGCGCCTGGCAACCGGCTCACATTTATGACGCTTACAGTAGTCTGGAGCCATTAATCGTTTTTTGTGACCTTCTGACAAGCAAAGTCAGTGGGGAAGCCAGATTTACTTAACAACCTTGTGACTAACACTACCTTGTGGCTGCATTGATTCACTTAACAACTGTGGCAAGAAAAAATGTCAAATGGGGCAAAACTCACTTAATAATTGTCCTGCTTGACACTTTGGGCTCAATTGTGGCCGTACGTCGAGGATCTAGCTGCATTTGGTTCAGCCTCAGAGGTTGCCATTTTCTCTGCTAAACTCTCTTTCTTTGAAGAAAGTGAAAATATCTTCATTTTGTTCCCCACAGGTTTGGACTTCTTTTCTTTCTTACCAGGAGACAATCAGGTATGCTGTGTGTTAATTTATTTGCAGTATTCATATATTTCCAGAATCTCCAAATGATCCCAGCATTTTAGAGTGTAGAAGTACACTTAATACATAATATAACATCCCTAATTATCCAACTAACTTAGTCATCTTTATGGTTAAAGGTACAGGTAAAAGTTACCTGTAGCTACTGAGGGAACTTGATGTGATTGGCAAATTCTCTTTTGCAAGGCAATAAATATCTTGGTGTACTAAAATGCCCTAATGTGGTGCAGGCATCCAGTGACACAAGTTGCGTAAAATTGTGCCAGTGAACTTCCGAAAGGAGAGCTGCTCTGCCCAGCTCAAATCTCCCTGGCTTCCCGCTCTCTTCCCTCTTGCCATCAGATGAGCTTCCAAGAGGCCCCTGCCTTCATTCAGAGGCTGTGGCTGATATTCCCAGAGCATCAGCCTTCCTCTCTCTGGCTTCTGAACGTTGAAACGCGCTCTTTTTTTGCCCCTGGTGCCCTGACTCCAGATCCGAGATTTAGCGGGGCCTTTCCATGGCCCGGGCTTGGGAAGCGCCCAAGTGTCTTTCCAATGATCCATGCCTGGGTGTCCTTGATCCTCCCTGGTTTCAGCAGCCTTTTATCTTCTTCCCAGCATTACAGCACTTCCATTTTGGCGGCCGCAGCTGCCGCCGTCTCCACTTCCGATGATCAAGAACTCTTGCACTCCCGGTTTTTCCCATACACTTCGTCGCAGATGTTCCTGGACCAGCTGAGCACAGGAGGGAGCGCCACTCTCCCCGCCACGAATGGCAGCAACAGCGGCAGCAACAGCAGCCTCGTGTCCTCCACCAGCATTCGGGAGGCCCACGGTCACCCCGTGGCCAGCAGAAGTAACACAGACCCCACCTCTCTCTTCGGCGTCATCCCAGACATTATTTCTTTGGACTGAGCTTGGTTGAGGTGTCCCTGGACTCGTGGGCGAAGAGATTTGCAATTTTGTTTTACCTTATTTTTGTTTAGAAATGCAGATAAGATTTTCCTTTTTTGTAGGGAAAAAAAGATGTGTACAGAGAACAAAACTATATTTTCAGTTGTACTTTTGTATATAAACCTAAGATAATTTGACTGGCGAAAAACAATTACAAAAAAATTACAAAAGCTCCCGACATAATTGCTTGGGATTGGAAGACTTTTCCCCTCCCGATTTGTGCGCTGGTGGGCTTGTTTTGAAGCTTTGACTCTGAACCACATAATTTTTTGTTTGTTCACAGCAGTGCTAGTGGGGGAAATGGTGCGCTCGAAACCTTGAACATCATAGGGGACTTCTGATTCTTGAGGAAACAGATGGCATCCACCATAATTGGAGAGAACTTCTCCTTCCTTAGGGTGGGCTGCCTTGGCAAAGTCTCTCTGGACAAATGCTTTGAATCAAATTCAACGTTTGCAATTGGATCGGACCTTCCTGCTTTTCTGCTCTGTTTGTTTATCCTGAAGCGGGACAGAGGCAGTTTCAGTTACCGAAATTCCATAGCATTTTCTTGTGTGAGTTGGATGTAGGTTTTTGGAAAGTGGCTGTTTGTTCTGAAGTGGACCCATGTTTCTTCTCTGGATTGTTTTTATTAGCTAGCTCTGCCTTGGTTTGCTCATAATTCAGATTTCACGGTTCTGCTCTTTGCTGTTTGCCATTAAGGAGCTATTCCACTCCGTTGGATGAGACCAAATGGCTTCCTAAAATCTTAAAGGCACACTTTGTTGAGATAGTTCCTTGGCAATTAAAAGGTTATGTCTGGAGAGTTAAAGACAAAGAAATTGGTGGAATTCTTAGAATGTGTTTAATAAATAGAGCCAACCCATCAACATTTAAGCGGAATAATGTAATTTCAATGAGTTTATTGTGCAGCTGACAATGTCAACAGCCATTGTATGCACCAAGGTTCAATCCTAGAAAATATGGGGGGGGGGGGGTGCTTGGGAAAATGTGCCCCATTGAATTGAGTAGGATTTAGCAAAACTAATATTTGAATAAATAATCTCTAGGATTGGGTTAAAGAGTGGCCCATTAAAATATGACTAAAAGTCCTACCTTTTGAATTTCAGCTTAGTGGAAAATAACAATCTATAAGATTATTATCCCCCTCCTTTCCTTCAAAACGTATTAAATGACTTCAGCATTTTTTAGTCTGTTAAATTCTTCTGAAGGAAGACGTGGGCCCTACCCTTTTAGCATTTGTAAATCCCACACTGAGGGATGAATGTTTAGTTAGAAAATATTTTTTCAAATTGGCTGATTTTTGAAAAAGCATTTTTTTCCCTAATTAAATAACAAAACATGGAAATTGGAAGATTTTAAAAGGAAAATGACGGGGAAGTCAAGTGAAATTTGCTGCATGCCAAAATCTGTCTTGAGGTTAAAAGATTTTATAGCTCATCTTTAAAATCAAGGTTTAAAAACACGGAAGATTTCAGCAGGAGGAAGGAGAGTGGTGAGAGAAGCCTGGCCGTTTTGTTTCGTCTTCATCAGAAGGCCCATTCGTTCGCTGGCTCTCTGAGCCATGTCTGCAAATGGCAGCATTTTTTCCAAACTCTTATTTTCAAGACTGTCCTTCAGTGAAACTTAAATCAGTGACAAGCTACCAATTTTTAATCTTAAATGTTTTTTTTATATAGACCTCAGAAACGTTATATTGGATTTTCTGAAATACATCCCATTTGCCATTTAAATTTTGATTTGAACTTTAGGAATGTTTGTTTATATGTATATGTGTGTGTATATATGTATTTATAGATATGTGCGTGTGAGAGCGAGGGTATGTGTTCTGTTCCATGCATGTATTCTATTAATGTTTGGCCAATATGTTTCTTTGCTAGTTTCTAATTTATTAAATGGCAGTAAAAGTTACAAGAACCAAGTAGAAAACAGTAATATTTTCTAAATTCACTATAGCTTGGGGCATTAAAATTAATGCTGGCTTGAGAATTATACCTTAACGTTCAAAACGTGTCCTCTCTGTGTTCCAAGTGAAGATTGGCAAAAGCCAGGGCTGTGGCTGCAGAACAGAATTGGCGCCATTCTCTTGAAAGTCTGCGGCTTTCGATTTGACATTTTTTCATAGTCCAAATAATTGTTTTAATTAAACACTTTGCATATATGTTCGAATAACACACCGTAGCACATTGTAAGATGTGCGCTTTCCAGGTTGTTAAGCTAAGGAGTGCGGGCACAGTGTGTGTAAAAATTTGTTGAAGTCACGCTCTGTTTATTTGTGATGGAGAATCAGCACATGTACAGTAAATGCATCAGGCAAGTAGCCGTGTGAAGCTTGTTTGCACTGACCGTGACTCGTGCGTCCTGTGTGTGATCTGCGTGTATATCAGGCCCCTTCTGCGTCTAGCTTAAGAAGCCGAATTTATGCGCTGCTTTGAGTGTGTTGGTGGAGAGGATGCTGAGCTTTTTCTTGGGGTGACCAAGGTGAGGTCTGTCAGAAGAACTTTGATCCTCGTCTAATGAAGCATTAGGCGTTGCTGGAAGCAGAACTTCCTCCACGTGAAATTAACGTGATAATTATGAAAGGAAAGGTACCTCCTGCTGGTACTCCAGTTTTTCAATGAACCAAATAAAAACCATCTCTGACTGCAAAGGGATGGGAGAGGTTGCACCTGAAAGCAGCACTGAACGTTTTGAATGTGAGATAGTAAATAACATCCCAAACTCTCCTATAAATCTTTTCTACTTAAATGAGAACTGGGCAGTTAATTAAGTCAGAACATGCATCAGACTTTGGGAGTTACTACATATTTTGATTACAGGGTTTTCTTCTGTAGTAAGATGTCCTTGCCAAGCTAATTTTTGACAATGGTAGATTTTTTCAGGGAAGCAAAGGGGTCTGTTTTGCTTAATTTAACAATGTAAGATATATTCTATGGTTTTCATTTTTGTATGTTTGCTTTTGTGGGGGAGGAGGTTCACTTTTTTCCCACAGAGAGAGAGTGTGGATGTGTGTGTGTGTGTGTGCGCTTATTACTTGTACGTCTTGTTTGTACTTTGTGTGCGTTGTGCTCTGTGTGTGTACACACAGATGCAAGATTCTTCTATAATAAGAGTGATTTTCAATCACTTCTGTGGGCATTAACTAGATGCATCATTTTCCTTGTTAAAAACCTGAATGCAAAACCAAAATTGCAACCAAAACTCGCAGTATTTTAATGGCATTCCCGTGTTTCTTCTTTTCCCTTCTGAAACATAACCAAAGTGTCAACCTGAAGCCGATTCTTACTAGTAATTCTGCTGTACTTTGACTAAGCTTTCCCATTATATTAAACATTTCATAGCTTTTTCATAATTTAAAATTATGGTTTTCTTATTTTATTTTTCTTCGGTAAGAGCTTTGATTTCTATTGAACTAAAACTGCCAGAGGCCCCCAGTGTGTGCTGCTGTTAATTGTTCTGATTAACAAAAGGGAAGAACCGATGTATATAAAGTGAAAAACAAAAAAGTGATTCCATATACTCAGATCTGTGATTCATTGCCTTAAACTTTCTCCTAAGTTTCCATACAGCATGCCAAACAAGTTTTAAAAAGTGGCTTTTAAAAATGTATAGTAGACCAATGTCAGTTTGTATAAAAGTACCAAGTGAAAATATTTATTACATGCATTGGAAGAGAAATGGTTTACCCTATTGAATGTTACTTGTTTATGTAAAACATCTTTAGATGTAATAAAAAACATTATTATGTTCTCTCTTGTGGAATAGCTTGTCGTGGATGCACAATACAGACTGGGTTTGCAAGAGATAAATTCTTGGTAAAATGGGTAATGAAAAAGTCTATTCAAAAAAACCAGTTGCCCCTTCGAAAGAACCTTCATTGTAGCTTGCTACTTCTGCCAGGAGGCACCGGCTGTCTTTGAAATCGGGAGCTGCCAAGCTGGAGCCCGTGCAACACTCCAGGAGTCTCTGGGAACGTCGGGGTGGCCGTGGGATGATGACTGCACGGCTCCTTGTTACAAGGTTCCCCTGAGAGCCTCCGGTGCCAGTGGCTGCTTCTGATGCTTTCATCGCACCGAGCTTGGTGACCACAGCGCAGCTGAATCATCCCGATCCCTTGCAATGCGCTGCCTCACAGAATCCTGCTCTATAGACTGCATGATACTGAAACATCTTTCCAGCTTGTAAGCACCTTCTTTTTGACTACTTAAAAAATTAAAGGAACTTAGCTGAACCAGAAATAAGCATAATAGATTTTACACAGAAAGAGCCAACATCTTTGCTTAACATGTTTCTTTTTGTTTGCCACAAAGCATTTATTTTTTAAGACAAAAAGGCAGGCAGACCCCAGGTTCCAAGAAGAATTGATGAAGGCTGCACGCAGCATGGTTGCCTTCAGCCAAATATCTTTTTGTAATTCAATAATCATCAGCTGGAAGTGTGATTGATTGAATTAAGTCTTCATACCTCACCAGTCCGTTGTGTCCCACTTTGGCGTTCTTCAAAAGGGCGTCCACTGTAAGCAATGGCAGATTAATTGAACCACTTCAGGTTACAGCTATCCTCACAGCTAAAGGAAACGATGGAACAGGTGGTTCCCACATCACAAAGGCACATGAAGTAGGAACCTGGTTTGAAGCAGGTTGAGGTCTGGAATATGACAAACTCCCAAGTATGGTATAGATCAGGGGTCCCCAACTCCCAGTCCGTGGATCAGTACCGGGCGACACAAACAAAGCCCCATTTGCGAGATGCAGGCAGCACACCAAACCACACACCCTCCAGTCCGTGGAAAAACCTCTCCACGGAACCAGTCCCTGATGCCCAAAAGGTTGGGGACCTTTGGTATAGATCAATAGCAATAGCACTTAGACCCATATACTGCTTCACAGCACTTTCCAGCCCTCTCTAAGCAATCTACAGAGTCAGCCTATTCCCCACCCCCCAACAACCTGGGTCCTTGTTTTACCACCTCGAAAGGACGGAAGGCTGAGGCAATCTTGAGCCGGTCAGGATCTAACTCCTGGCTGTGCGCAGAGTTTGCCTGCAATACTGCATTCTAATCACTAGGCTACCAGGGGGTTGGTGGTGTTAAAACTAAGAATAACCTCTAGAGAGCCACGTAGATGCATCAAATGTCTGGACATGGACGATGATTATTATAACTCCGAGTGCCGAGGTACCACTGTAACTGAGAAAGGCCCTCTTCCAAGGGCCAAGGGCCAGAGATCTTTGCAGGAGACTCACCTTCTTCTTTGGATAGCTTTTCTCCAAGGTTCATCAGCTTAGCCTGCAGTTCAGCCACTGAGATGAATCCGGTCCTTTGCTGGTCCAGCATTAACATGGCCAGGAGGATTTCATTCCTTGGGTCTTCCTGCTGTATTTGCCTATACATGATGGTCAGGAAAGTTGAAAACTCCAGTTCTTCATTCACATCTGTAAGTGAGAAGGAAGGTGCGAGGCCAGCACTGTATAAGAAGGTACTATTAAAGCCCATCACCCAGCCTGTCTCGCCATATGAATCAGAGTAGTCTGCTTGTCATCCTAAGCTGGTATGGAACCTAGAACCAAATGTCAATGCCATGGCTTCTTGCCACTCTGGAGTAAGGAAATGCACAAATACATTTTGAAATAGTCTACATACAATAAGGAATACAATAGAAAGTTCCTGATCTCCCCAAACTCTGCCAAGAGGGAAAAACCCTAGCCCTGCCTGCCTGCCCACAAGGAAAATAGTTCTAGCTTTACAGGCCTTTAGGGAGATTCTCAGTCATCCAGGTCATGGTTGTCCCAAAGGTGCTTTTTCAAGAAGCAACTGGATTCCCTTGGTTTTTCCTTGAAAAAATTTCACTTCTCATCTAAGAAGCTTCTTCAGTTCTTCAGAAGGTTGAAGAAGGTTCTTGGATGAGAAGCTAAATGTCTTCAAAATAAAATAAAGAGAGCCCAGTTGGCTTTTGAAAAAGCACCTTTGGAATAGCTTTACAGACCTTGCTCCACCCCACCCCCAAGGGTCAAGGATAGGTCCAGGTATCAAAAGGTGGTCCATTTCTGCTCCGGGCTGACATCCTAGTTTCCCAGAGTGACTAGATGCCTACTTTTTTAAAAGGAAGGTTTAAAGATTAAAAAAATAGTTTGAGGCTTTGAAAGTTTCCTCAAACTGTCCTGATCATCTTTTCTCCTGCATCATCATTCCATGATTAGAAAAGGATAATTCATATCCTTGAAAATGAACTGTATTTCATAGTTCAGCTGATCTTTCCTTAAAGTGTAGAATTGTTTTCATTTTATTTCTATAATACCAGAATAAAAATTGCAGAACCAATTCAGTGATGATTTATAGCAAGCTCTTCAAATTTCTTTAACAATTTTAGATGCTGATAAGAGTTCTAAAGATCTTCTTTGCCAATGGTGACTATATTCAAGCAGAAGTCCAAAAAAGCTCCCAATTCGTTTAAACTGAATAAATCTGTGGAACAAAAACTGCTGAGATTTGCATTTCAAAAGCTTTCCATGTTCCCAACTTAGAAAATTACCTTAGAAGGGTAAAAATGCCACAAGGCAAGAATGGAAGATTATTTTCAAAAGGATTTATTTTCTTTAGAAAGATAACAAACCACGCACTAGAGAATATATATAGCTCCTGGCTGAATTGTGCATTCTTGGTATTCTCTGAGCTGGATAGTAGAACATTAGTTCTCAACCCCGGTCTGTGGTGGCCTGTTGGGAACCAGGCTGCGCAAGCGAGCAAGTGAAGCTTCATCTGCGCATGCACGGGATCTAGGTTGCATGTGCAAAACCATTCCTCCTTCCCCAGTCTATGGAAGACAATTTTATTCCCCAAACCGGTCCCTGGAGCCAGAAAGGTTGGGGACCGCTGCTATAGAACATTCTTGCAGATGTTTTGTTACCAGTGTATGCACTGATGTTACTTGGACAAATAATGAAATTTGCTGGACAACCATTTGTCTGAAATGATATAAATTCTCCTGCTCAAGCAGGGGGTTGGACTAGATGACCTCCAAAGTCCTTCCAACTCTGTAATTCTGAGTTATTTCAGCCCCTTTATTAATGATCCTTAATGTAGACCTTTCTCTTTTCTCATCTGCTGAACTTTTAAGATGAATTAATACGCTTACAGCAGAACATTAGGGAGCCCAAGGCAGTTCCTACTTTGCCATTTACTGTCACACATAAATTTTAAAGGTAAAAGGAAATCAGCCTCTAGTATCAGCATCATACTAGAAAAATGTGCTCAGCTTGAATTGTTATGCATTTTCCAGGTTCAATTAAGACTTGTGGACTTCAGTTCCCAGAATTCCCTGGCCAGCCATGCTTGCCAAGTTTGGAGACCCCTGCTTCCTACCATGGATCTATAGCTGCGTCCCCTGGAACCTTTCCAAATAGTGCCAGTGGCACACTCTTTTTCTGTAGTAGAAGAACACGTGACTGGGAATGTACTGTATATGAATTACTTTTAATGTTAATTAAATATGCAAATTTGGCTGATCTCCAAATGTTAAGTGGGGGGGGGACGGCAGAGGAAAGGCAGGGAGACACTTACCGATTTTGTGGAGCTGAAGGTGCCTGGCCACCTCTCCTAGAGTTGGGCTAGTGCCCAAACTGCGCATGACAACCATCAGATCGCTGGCCTTGATTCTGCCTTTCTGCCTTTTGTCATACAGGGAAAAACATTCCTTGAATTCTGTTCAGGAGAAAAAGAGAAGGTGGTTTCTGAGGCTGGGAGGCAAGAAAAGCTGAGCTGGGGGCTGAACTCTCCACAGTAGGGAGGATAAACCCTAAAGATTATTTCAATTCCTACTGAATTTAAAAGAAATTAATGATCATGCGGTTATTATGACTATATCCTTAAAAGCCCAGATGTCTTCATCCTTGACTTTTGGTGGGCTCACAGATGTGTCTACAAGGTTTTCTTGGCAGGGATGATGGGTCACTATCCTCATCTTCTCTTATGTCTTCCTGACTTCTTAGTTTTAGCCTACAACAAGGAGCCTCCCTTCTAGCCTCCATCCAAGTACTAACCAAGAGATATCCTGCTTCGTTTTTGAACTCAAACAAGATCACTCAGGGGCTGTTACTTGCTGAGACATTTATTTATTAAATTTGTACGCTGCCCACCTCACAGTTCGAGGCAAAGTCGCCCACATATTAGTTATTTAATTATTAGATCCTTTCTCCAGACAGGGTATATATATTCTGTCCTCCATTTTCCCCCACAACAAATCCTGTGAGCTTGGTTCATCTGAGAGTGCAGGTAGTTTCAACTTATGACAGTAATGGAGCAGGAACTTTTAGCTAGGGATCAGTTGCAGGTTTCATAGATGAAGTTGTACAAAAATATTTTCCATCACATGTTTTTGAGATAAAGAAGTTGACACATCAATGGGCAAGGAATTTCCAAACGAAAATCAACAGAATGATAACATCTGGTCTTACACATTCTTTCATACAGAAGGGGAAAGGGATCTGTTTATTACAGCTGCAAGGCCAGACATACAGAAGGGGAAAGGGATCTGACCTATCACCCCAGAAAGCTGGCGTGAAGTTTCCTCAAGGAAGACCAGGAGGCAAGAAATAAAAGAGAAGGGTACGAAGCTTCCCTTTTGAAATGAGAAAGATACGTACCATTGATCTGATCCTGGGTTAGAAATTTTGCCTGCAAGACAAAAAGGAAAAACAACAATGAAATAACTTCATTCTGCTCTACAAAATAAGATTCCCCAGCCAGCCAGCCACAATCCTGGGCAAATTGTCCGCAGTCACCATTGGAAGGTTTTGGGGTGCAGATCCTGGTTCTTCCCTGCCTGCCCTGCCTGCCTTCCACGCCCAGCTTCCTCGCTGATGAAGGGGCGAAGTCCGCTCATCCCAGAGAGCGGTAGCAGGTGTAATAAATACCTTTTGCTGTCATGGATATAATCCAGGTTGCAGGTCAAATTTCAGCTGAAGTGATAGCTGCTAGCCAAGCAACAGCAACCAGATTCGGATGGTTCTTCGTTTGCAGGAATTATTTTTCAGCTCTCTCTTCTTGACAAGGACTTGAATTTTTTACTGCATAGTGTATAGATAACACCACCATCTTCAAATATTCAGTTGGATGTCAGTGGCTTCATAGTCTCCAGCCTCTTCCAAGACAGGTTAAGTAGAGCTCATTAGCAAAGCTTTAACATGTTGCTTAACACAAAAAGAGGTCCCTCCATTACAAGCCTGCATTCTAGGCGATGGAACAGTCTGAAAGGGAGAAATGGCTGGATATTTAGAGTGCTTCACCTAAAATTTCCTTTTTGTTTTTTCCAGGAGACATTTTGAGTACAATTACTAATGGCAGTACAAGAATATATTTTGACTCCTGTGGCACAGAGGTGAAGAGGGGCTAACCAACAGTATCTCCCTCATTAATGAGAAGAAATGGCCACCATCTTGGGTTTCTGGTCAGAAGTAGCCTGGATTGGTTCAAGGGCTGCCTAGAAGCTTGTGCATCAAGCACAATCAATAAATATAACCAGTTCACCAATAAGTAAATCTTAGATTCATGAAATGTGAGGGTTGAAAGGGATTTTGGAGATCATCTGGTCTAATCCCCTGCCCATTGCAGGAACCTGTTACTTCAACAAACCTGAGGGATGGCCATCCAGTTTCTGCTGAAACATTTTGAGCAAAGGAGAGTCCACCACCTCCTGAGGCAGTTGGTTCCATTGCTGAAGAATTTATATTAACCTTTATTGTGGGAAAACCACATTAGCCTATAGTAGCCAAAAATCAAAGGAGTCCAGTGCCCATATTTCTTATGGGACAGATGAGAAATAATAGCTGAAGATTATTCCTGTTGACCATAATTTCCTCTAAATGTAAACTGGATTTATTTTAAGAGATGTAGGTGTATGAATCAGAAAATCCTAATTGTGGGTGCAACATGTTGATTAATGCAGGACTCTGCACATTTAGTTGTACATCCTGTCAACTAAATTCATAGCAAATTTCACTGTATGGTTTATCACTTCTGAGTTTAGAGCTGAAGACAGTGGTTACGTTAGAAAGCTAAATTGTTACAATGGAACATCACTGTAGGGTGCCCACTCTTTTCTACCATCTCTAAATATAATTTTTGCTTTGTAGTTGCTTTAAATATTTGCTCAATGAGATCAGAAACAACAAAAAAATAAATGAAACAAATTTAGGCATTTAGGCAAGATACTGCCAAAAACTATTAGTCCCTCCAACTTGGAATATACCCAGTATCTTATAACAGTGAAGATGGAAAATAAATATCTTAAGATCAGAGATCTTAGTTACTGCTTTGTAATGTTGTAAGAACTCTTAACTATCCTCAACTTTATCTGTTCTCTCAGAGTCTAAGTATTGAGTTGTTTGCTCTAACAGACTGCTAAACTAAAAAGCATTTTGTCCCTAGATAGGAGGATAATCTTGGAACCAATATGAACCTGAAATTTGCAGGGAACTAATAATTCTTATGCTGAGAAGCACTAGGTTACCAATTCACTATGGGAGGGAGGGATAAATGGAGACCAACTTGTTGAGAAATAGTGACCTTTCACGCACAGCTGAAATGTAAGATTTGGAGCCTGATTTAAGAGTATCAGTGTGTTCAGGACAAACAGTCCCTCAAACAAATATAAGCAAATAATTGTCAATTACACACTGTCAGTTAATTACAGCATGCTTATCAGTACTCTGCTGTTACAGAACATGATGTTATATTCCTATCCTATACAACAAATTACTAAGAACTGATAACCAAGAAAAATATTTTTCCCCTGGCAAAGTTTTAGTCATTGGCTCTAAGAAACCATAATACATGAAATGGTGTGGTTATATATTAAAAAGAGGGATACATCATTTATCTGAATTCCATGTGAAAATTAGGAGGAGTCTTGTGGTACATTAAAGATTAACAGATGTATTACATCATAAGTGTTTTGTGAACTAAGTTATATGGAAGATTTTATAAGCAGTAGGATCAAAGGGAAAATATATGCACTATTTCAGAGGTCATTCATGAAGCAGGATTAATAGCAATAGCACTTACATTTATAGACCGCTTTACTGTGCTTTACAGCGCTCTCTAAGCGGTTTACAGAGTCAGCCTATTGCCCTTAACAATCTGGGTCCTCATTTTACCAACCTGGGAAGGATGGAAGGCTGAGTCAGCCTTGAGCCGGTCAGGATCGAACTGCTGGCTATGGGCAGAGTTAGCCTGCAATACTGCATTCTAAGCCATTCTGATTCGAGACATAGGTTGAATCAGAGGTAACGATAGCTTGACAAATTGTAACTCAGTGTCTTATAATGGTATCTTTAAAGCACTGTAGAAGTTCTTTAATTATTGCTTTTCTTGATGTAGCATTTACATTTGTTTATTATTTTGCATAGAAACCAACTTGAAATTAAATTTATCATCTCAGTCACTTCTTTCATTTCTGAACTGATTGGAAAAAGAAGAGGTTTTTTTCAGTGAGTCAGTTTACAAATTATTGATTTTATTAACAGGATTTATTTATCTCCTCAATTAGCTAGGTCCCTAGGCAATGAACAACATTCAAAATTAATAAGACAGTATAACATCAGTATATAATAATACGGCATAATATAATTTTAGAAAGCTATGTCAATGTAACCAAGCTGTTCAATTCCCAAAGCCTGGGAGCCTATATAAAGCCTTCAGAACCATGGTCACCTGAGATGACAAGTACTTCTAAAGCAGAGGAGCTAAGAGAGTTTATCTTATGGCTAAAACAGTTTTAAGAATGCCCAGTTTATGATTATCCCTGTGTTATTTACTATTTGCAAGTATATATACACATGAACAGGCAGAAAACCTGTAACTGGATCTTCATCTCTGCAGGGAAGGTGCACAATAGAGGCATCTGGCAGAAGGTCAAAAACCTAAACAATGCATATAAAAAGGGGCCAGGCTTTAATTGCAAGATTGTAGCCTCCATCCTGAATTTTTATTACCCCTCCTCTCATGGATGTTCCTGTTGCAGGTGCAATTCTCATAGCTGGAGGAAAACCTCCTTCAGGGCTTTGTTGTTGAAAAGTTTGTGACTGAGCTCTAGAGGCAGAGAAGATTCAGGCCATTCTTGCTCAGCTCTTGTATATCTTCCATCTTTGCATTCTGAAAGCTCACTTGCTGAAATACTCAGGATTATTTGATCTCTTGAGCAGACCTTTGTTTCTTGGACATTTGCACAACTAGTCAGTGGCCCTCTTTCTGCAGGCTGTTTTCTATGGGCTCTGTCATTCCATTGGCAGTTTGGATTACCTTTTCGCTGCGCAACTATGGGCCACTCTGGCTTGTTTCATTTCAACATTTCAGCCGTTTGCATTTATTATGCTCAGCAAAGGCATCCATGAGTCAAACGCAAATGATGGATAAAGCCATGCTGGGTTTTTGGCAATGATCAAATAAAAGTTTGCCTTCTTTGGGGATTGTTTTCTTCTTTCCGTTTCTCAGATTATGCACAGCCCTCGGATTTCCCGGGATCCTCTTATCCAACTTTGCCTACCTGCTTAGCCAGGTGCTGCAATCTCCTAAAATATTATAATAGCCATGTTCCAATAAAAGCTAAGCCCAAGAACTGCATGTCCTAAATTGAGCTTCAGATATTATTGCCGCTCTAATAACTGTGTGTCCCAGGTTGTGCGTGCACTTTGTGAGGTGAGTTAGCTGGAACAGTCAGCTACTCTAGCCTTTGGAAGTGCCATAATCACTTCTGGTCTCTTATATTTCAAATGCATTAGGTATCCAGGAATATCCCAGCATTTTACCCAACCTATGTGTCAAAGTAGCATCCCTTGATTTTCCAAAGGCAAACATTCTCGTACACCTTTGGGAATACGATTGATCTGGTACCAGGACAACCTTTGAGTCTTACTTTGCTGTGTGTCATCAGAGGGAGGTAGGAGGCCAGGCCTAAGAAGGTTATCAAGTGTGAGAAAGAACATCAGCCTTGGTGTGCAGGACCAAGCAAGGAAAGGAGCCACTCTGAAAGAAGAGCTGTTGGGGGTGAGAGGAAAGAGGGCAGACATATGAAATCCGAGTTGAGAGGACAGCAGGGAAGGCTGAGGTTGGATGAGAGTCACTAATCTGGCAATAAAGCCAAACTGTAGAACATTTTATTGCCAGGTTTTTAGAATTTAAAATATTTTGTTGCTTTAGAACATTTGTAACACTTTCTAGAAGCCAGGAAAGGATGAGAATTGCCACTCCCATTCCTTTGGGACAATCATACAATATAAAGTACATACTGTAATATTATGAATACAAAAGATAACAATCCACTACTTTTCTTTATATTTAGGATATGTTTAAGGATGGGCAAAAAGAACAAGTTCTGAACAAAAATAAAAGTAAAAAGTCCTTTGGCCGGTAAAGAAAGTAACATGCTGTAATAGCAAAGCTAAGGTGCATAATTATGTTTTATTACTTTCTGTCTCCAGAGGACTGCAAAAACCTTGGCCGGAGAGCTCCTGCTGTGCTGCTAGAGAGCAAAGGCGGAATTCTGCTTCTGAGCACAAGCTTAGAGCAGTCCCCAAGACTTGGATACAAAGAATTATTTCTGCTGATCATTTATGTTTTGCCAAGAAACAGAGAGTGCCGTGCAGATAAAAAGAAGTAAAGGAATCAAGTTG